ATTTTAGGGGTCCTGGAATGATTCTGTCTGAGGTGTGGCGGCAGATACACAACTGTGTGTGCAAAACCCATGCAATTGCACACCATGAAGAATGCATTTCAGTGTATTTAAGATAGATGAGTAGATTGATCTGTTCATTTATATACACACATGTTCATTTATATGCAAATAGGAAGCGGTCATTTGCATTAAATATTTCAAGATCAAGGAATGTAAGTGGCAGGTTTTCTCTGGATCCATTTAATAATGGCCTAGACCTCTGTATGCGTGAATTCTGGGCTGCAGGCAGAATTGACCTACAAAATCATGGCCTCTTGGCATGGCCCTTAGAGCTTACAAGAATACAGGGCCTCATTGACGATAGACTGGACAGGGAAAATGTGGCACATATACACCATAGAATACTATGCAGCCATAAAAAATGATGAGTTCGTGTCCTTTGTAGTGACATGGATGAATCTGAAAACCATCATTCTCAGCAAACTGACACAAGAACAGAAAATTAAACACTGCATATTCTCATTCATAGGCGGGTGTTGAACCATGAGAACACATGGACACAGGGAGGGGAGCATCACACACTGGGGTCTATTGGGGGGGTTAGGGAGGGATAGCAGGGGGTGGGGAGGTTTGGGAGGGATAACATGGGGAGAAATGCCAGATATAGGTGATGGGGGGATGGAGGCAACAAACCACATTGCCATGTATGTACCTATGCAACAATCCTGCATGATCTGCACACGTACCCCAGAACCTAAAGTGCAATAAATTTTAAAAAAGAAGAATACAGGACCTGCTTCTGGGATGGAGATCTGAGATGTACATCTCTTGGGGTTAAAATGCTCCAATAAAGAAAGCCTGGTATTGGTTGGGCTCCCAACCTGGGTTCTTCTCTTATCTGTGCCAGACTTTGTAGGTGTGACTGTAGGTGACTTTAGTCTCTCAGAGCCTCCACTTCCTCTCAATAAAATAAGAATAATGAGTTTCTCAGAATTGACTGGGAACAGGCTTCAGGGCTTGATGTGAGCACCACCCACTCCTGGGGCTGGCTGCACATTTCCCAACAACTCCCCCAGGTCAGTGACCCCGGACTTATTCCATGCTGCACCATCGCAACAGGCTTCTCACTGTCTCTCAGTCATTTGTTTACTTGTCCTATAGACCAGGCACATCCATGAGGCTCCACGCCTAGTCCAGTGCCTGGCACATATTAAATGCTCAAGAAACACACATCAATTCACATTCTTTCAGGATCAGGGGTTTTCCCACCTCAATCACTTTCCACCTTCTGAGAAACTTTGCCTTTTTCCAAAAGTCAAGCCACCCTGTGAGAGGAAGAGCTGCCATGTCTGAGGGTGCCCAGAGTCCATCAGGGTCGCATCCAGCCATTCCCAGACGGTCCAGTGGCTACCAAGCAGGTGCTCTGTAAATGCTGTTGAATAAAGTCATCCGTTTTGAGAAGCAGGAGCAATGTTGGTGAAAGTTTGGAGCCCTGAATGGGCAGCACTAATTCAGCACATCACCCATGGAGCTTTTTGCGTGTAAAGAAAACAGCTCAGGTGTGCCTTGAGGCCTCTGAATGGCAGATTGTAGGGTGCTGGAGCGTTGGAGGTGCGTCTGTCCCCAAGGATGCTGGAGTTTCCCTTCCAATGTTTAGGAAGGCAACAGCAGGAAAGACCTCCTCCAGCTTCCCTGGGCCCGGCTCACAGTGGAGGATGGGCACGCGGGAGGGAGGCAGATGCCTGGGGTGTGAGGACACCTCGGTGTGTCCAGGATCAAGAATGAGGGAAGCCACTTCTGGGCACTGAGGTCCAAAGGGGAAGGGGGAGCAGCTGCCTTCCCTCCTGTCCCCCCTTTCCCTTCACCCCGTGTCTCCAGGGCACTGAGGGTGCTGGGATCATCCCTCGTTCATTGAGCCCGGTTCCACCTGCAGATACATCTCTCCCTTCCCTCCACCCTCCTCCTCTGGATTTCTGCAGCTTAAAGGCTTAGGCGTGACCTCAAAAGCCATGTGTATATTCCGTGCTTATCCCTCCCTCCTCTCTGGTGAGGATTTGAGCAGACAGGGCAGGCTCAGCCCCCTCACACACGTAAGCATCACGCCCTTGAACGTGGCCTAGTGACTCCTGATCCCAGGAAGCCCATGGGAGGAGAAAGAAGGTTTTCTTGGGAACCTGGGATTAAACTGCTCCTGGCTTCAGATTCTCATGTAGCCCGAATCATCTCTTACTTTCTCATTCTCTTGCTCTTTCTCTCTTTCTCCAAGAAGCCGGTTTTGCCTTCTTTTTAGCTTTCATACACCAAGGTTGTGTGTTCTGTGGAGCTGTGGGGACAGAATGGATGTCAAGGAATGAGTCTGTAAGTTCGTGATGCTGAGTAAGTGGCAGCCTGGCTGAGCTCAGCGCTGTGCGTATGTGGTCTCACTTCTTATGGCCCAGGTTCTGCTGTGATCTTCATTCATAGGTGAGGGAGCAGTCCCTGAGGTATTAGGCAACTTACCCAGGTCCCACAGGTCATCAGGATGAAACCTAAGCCTATCTGCTACTAGAGACAGTGCACTGAACAGCTGTGTGGGACATCTGCAGTTCTAAGTTGTTATAGCGGCAAACCCACCCCCTGCACCATGCCAGTCCCTGGGGGATTTTAATCCTGAACTGTGGAGTGGACTGATCCCAGCTATCAGCCACCAACTGGGGAGGGTGGGGTGGATATCTGACTGCTCACAGTCTTTGACACCCACGCCAGGGCATGCCACACATAGGGGTGCCTGATTTGTCACCATAGAAGCCATTCATTCTCCTCCACAGCCCCCCAACATACACACGGGAGTGCAAAGCCAGGCGTGAGGCTGGACGAGTGGAAGTAGAAGCAGATTGCCACTGAAGAAACAGGGTCAGAGAGGTTTCAGGATGTGAGCAGGGCCACACAAGCTCAGGGGTGGTCAAGCTAGAACGCCAGTCCCACAAAGTGGCATGATTTTCACTCAGCCAGATCGGCTCAGTGTTAGAGGCAGGGCTTAACCTTTGACGAGGAACATCAGGTCCCACTGTGAGTGCTGGCGTAGATGCCTGGGTGCTCTGAGCTGGTTACTTCCCTCTCTGAGCCTCATCTGAAAACAGGAACGTTGATGGCTCTAGTGCTTGCCTTGTGGGTTCAAGATGGGCCGTGAAGACGTGGATAGGTACAGAGGATGGGGGGGCAAAGGCAGTCGGGAGCTCTGCCGGTGACCACTGTCTTAGCTGGCAAAATTAAGGCCATAGTTGCCATTTGTTCTCCTCTGCAGCCCTCAGCATCCACATGGGTGTGCAGAGCAAGGTGGGTAGAAGCCTGTTCCAACCAAGGGCAAAACCATTTATAACCTATGTCACCTCCCTGCTGGAGACCAGGTGATATGTCTCCAGCAGTAGAAAGATGACATTATTCTAATTTTCAAAACTTCTCATTTTTCAAAAATTTTCAAAGATGTTATTCTGATTCCCAGAATTGGATAAATCAATCAGCTCTCAGACCCTGGTTTGGTCAGGAAATGTCTCGAATTTTCATGGTAGAAATGTCTATTGATCTGCACTGAAATATCCCAGACAGCTGCGTTTCTCCTGGAAGTAAGATCTTGGCCTCACAATGCCAAGTCTCTCTCTATAGGGAGATTCTCCATCTCTGAGCTGACAAACCTTGAAGCCAATTCGTGCCCTTGAACCGACAGCAGCAACTCTATTAAAGAAGTTTGATTACGAAAAAAGAAAGAGATGTGAGGGAAGTGAAAGAATCTATTTTTCATTAAATGCTGCTTGTTTCAAAGTGGGAACATTTTCTGGGTGTCTGGGGAGCTGGTGTTTTCTGTGGCTTGCTGGAAGAATCAGATCTTAAAAATCAGAAAACTTTCCATATAAGGGAGAAAGCATCATTTTCAGAGCTTGGGGCCAAATTATATTTGCAGAGAAGGGATTTCTGTCCTGGAGGTTTATTTCACAAGCATTTGTCAAGCACCCACTATGAACCAGGTGTCATTCCAGCTGTTTAAGGGGTTTACAAGGGTAATAAAAATATTCTAGTAAGATGAGATGATGCATATTGGCATTTTTGTAATAGTTTGCCTTTGTTTATTTGGTCAATCACTAAGGTTGATTGAGAACCTACTGTGTACCAGGCCTGGCCTAGGCACTGAGGGTGCAATGGCGAACAGGGAATTATGGATCCCTGCCTTCTGGAAGCTTCCAGTTTAGCTGGTGTGGTAAGGATGGGTGGAGGTCTGAGAGTGCCCTAAACAGGATCTCTGGCAATGGAATTCATTTGTGTATAGGTCCATTGGTGAGCATGTTTATCCACTGATCATTTTGAATGCTGCAGTCGGGGGTAAGAAGGGATTATTTCTCTATTACTGAGCAGGTGAGTTGCTCATAGCCGCCTGGGGGTGCAGGAATGGTACTCAAACCCAAAGCACTTGATTTGGATTGTTTCCACATTTAAGCTGTTATGAGCAATATGGCTGTGAACATTGATGTGTGAGTTTTAGTGGGGACATATGCTTTCATTTCTCTTGGGCATACACTTGCAAGTGGAATTGCTGGGTCATATGGTCTATGTTTAATCTTTTGAGGAAGTACCAGATTGTCTCCCAGGGCTGTACCATTTTACATTTTCACCAGCAGCATTTGAGATTCCAGTACCTCCATATCCTTGCCAACACTTATTACTATCTGTTCTGGATTCTAGCTATCCTAGTGTGTGTGAAGCATTTCATATTGTTTTTTAAAATGCAAGACATATCTAAAACATGATCAACTACAAGGGTCTGGAATATCTGTGGATAATCTAGTATCCAGCAACTATTTCCTGGGAGCACTGGTCTGCCCCTGGACTGAGAAATGGCTGGCCTTCTCGCTGATCAGTCCAAAGCCAGGTAGGCTCTGCAGTTCCTTAGTGAGCTCCCAGATGTCAGGTGAGGTTTGTCGGGAGGCCCACAGATGCCTAACGCTCTGCCATCTCTTCTTGTTTTCCAGCGATTCACGAGTTCCCCACAGACCTGTTTTCCAACAAGGAGCGACAGCATGGAGCCGTCTTGTTGCACATCCTTGGTGTAAGTGGTCCTCCCAGAGCAGTCACGAAACTTCTGGCACGTGAAGCCTCTCTGCACAGCGGGCAGAGCTGTTGGCATTCTGAGATCTTTTGTTTTTGTAACAGCCCGGTGAGGAGAGCAGAGAATGGGCACACTTTTCCCACAAAGATATGGTGTCTTACATGTGTGAGGTGACTTACCCAGTGTCACACAACTAGTGGCCCCCAAGCCAACAAAGGAATGCAACTCTTTCCTGTACCCCACTTTCTGCTTTAATAGAACAGGGACGATGGTGCCCATTACAGATTGTAAATATGAATGAATATGGGTCAAGGGCATCAATGTTGTATGGCACGTGGTATCTCCTACAAATGCTTGCTGTCAGGATTCCCATGACTATCCCTAAATTTTAATACCTTTACATCACTATGTAGACGGTCCCCCAGTACCATTTTTCAGTGTTATGATGTTGCAATAGTGAGACATATTCAGTACCCTATTCTGGAAGTATAAAGAAACTATACTGTGAATCTTGAATTTTTATCTTTTTGGGCCAGTGATTCTCTGTCCTCATGCTGAGCAGTAACAGCAATTGCAGCTCCCAGTCAGCCATGTGGGCATGAGCGTAAACAAACAGCCAACACTCTACAGGGTACTGTGTTGCCAGATGAATTTGCCCAGCTGTAAGGCTAATTAAGTATTCTGAGCACGTTTATGATAGGCTAGGCTAAGTGGTGATGTTCAGTAGGTTAATTGGGTTAAATGCATTTTCCACTTAAAGTATTTTATGTATTTATGTATTTGTTTATTTATTTTTGAGATGGAGTCTTGCTCTGTCACCCAGGCTGGAGTGCAGTGGCACGTTCTCAGCTCACTGCGACCTCTGCCTCTGGGTTCAAGTGATTCTCCTGCCTCAGCCTCCCAAGTAGCTAGGATTACAGGCATTTGCTGCCACATCCAATTGATTTTTCTATTTTTAGTAGAAACAGGGTTTAACCATGTTGGCCAGGCTTGTCTCTAAATCCTGACCTCTGATGATCCACCTGCCTTGACCTCCCAAACTGCTGGTACTACTGACATGAGCCACTGTGCCTGGTCCACTGAAAGTATTTTAAACTTAAAATGGGTTTATCAAGCTATAACTCTGTTGTAAGTCTAGGAGCATCTGTAGTTTAAAACTGTGGTGTACTTCTCAGACTTTCCGGTCAAGTAGTAATTTGAAAAGAAATAGGGGTTGGTTCAAAGCTGAGTTACAAGTCACTCTGCCGTGCTGGAGTAGGCAAACCACAACCCCAGCCAAGTCTGGCCCAATGCCTGTCTTTATAAATAAAGTTGGGTTTTTTTTTTTGTTTTTTGAGACAGTCTGTCTCCGTCACCAGGCACCAGGCTGGAGTACAGTGGCACGACCTTGGCTCACTGCAACCTCTGCCTCCCGGGTTCAAGCAATTCTCCTGCCTCAGCCTCCCGAGTAGCTGGGACTACAGGTGCACGCCACCATGCCCAGCTAATTTTTATATTTTTAGTAGAGACAACGTTTCACCATGTTGGCCAGGATGGCCTTGATCACTTGACCTCGCGATCTGTCCACCTCGGCCTCCCAAAGTGCTAGGATTACAGGCGTGAGCCACAGTGCCTGGCCCTAAATAAAGTTTTATTGGAACACAGACACACCTATTCATTTCTGTAATATCTGTGGCTATTTTTGCACTTCAGGGGCAGAGCTGAGTACATGCATCAAATACTGCATGGCCCACAAAGCCAAACATATTTATAATCTCCCCTTTAGAGAAAAGGTTTGCGGACTCTATTGGGTGGTATGGAGAAACGTAGCTGGTCAAGGTTTGCTTCTCTGCTTCGGATCAACCACAGCAAATTTTCTTCCTGATCAGCTTCTCTGACCACCCAGCACCATCTGTTTGTGTATTTAAACCCAACCAAATATTACTCTCTGTAAGAGATAATTAAGAAAGTGAAATCTGGAATTCCCACATAGATAGTAACAACCAGAAAATAATGAATGGGTGAAGTTTTAATTAACAGGGTAAACCATTAATGAAAATGAAGACTAGAATGAGGGTCGTCAGCACATTTTGAACAACAGGCCTGCTTATTATTTCCATAATAGAGTTATTCTTCTTCAAGCTTCTCTGACTTTATATTCCCTCCCCTTTCACTAAGGGAGTGTGGATGTGGCTAATTGGTCCCATAGTTGTGTGGTCCTGCCTCGTAAGAGTCTTGGCATAGCTGAGATAAAACCTCAGGTTTCTGCTGAACCTGGTGCACCCTGGGAATTTCACAGGAACCCTTTAGTGCCTGGGGTTACCAAACTGGCTGGAGAGCCAAATTCAGCTTACCAACTGTTTTTTTTTTGTTGTTTGTTTGTTTTTTTTAATAAAGAAAAGAGGTTTAATTGACTCACAGTTCTGCATGGATGAGGAAACCTCAGGAAACTTACAATCATGGTGGAAAGGGAAAAGGCACATCTTACATGGTGGCAGGGAAGAGAGAGCATGCAAGGGCAGGGAAAACTGCCTTATAAAACCATCAGATCTCATGAGAATGCACTCACTATCATGAGAACAGCATGGGAAAATCATCCCCCATACTACCGTTTTTATAAATAAAGTTTTATTGGAACACTGCCACACCCATTCTATGGCTTGTTTTTGTTTCACAACAGCAGAGTAGTTGTGGAAGTGACTCTGTGGCCTGCAAGCCTAAAACGTTGCTCTCTGACCCTTTACAGAAAAAGTTTGCTGACCTCTTGTGTTTTCTTGTTTTGATTTGAATGGGTAGATGAATGCTGATCCACCTCTTCTTTAGAGCACAAAAAGGACCTAGCTTAGGGGCCGGTTTTGCCTGCAGTGCTCCGTGACCCAAGAGATAGAAATTGGGGTACCATCTTGGCCCATCTTCTTTCTCCATTGTTTCTGAGGGCTCAGGAGAGAGATAGGCCCTTTGGCCTCTTGGGAGGTGATGTTGCTGGAGTGTGAATTCAGGTCAGAATCCTCAGCTCTGTTGCAGGGTCGTCCCCGCCTGCCCTCTCCCCTTTACCCACACCCCTGCCATTTGTTTCTTTTCACTCCCCTTCCCCAAAATGTTGGCAGTGAGTCAAATCCAGTAACACCTGCCACAGAGGCCCTGGCCGCAGCTAATGTATCTTCTGCTTTATTAATCACAACGAGTGAGTGATGAAGTTGCTGAGTACCACAGTGTTTTCGCTGAAGTAGCCCAGCCTTTCTCTCTTTTGCAAACAAATCATCCACAACACTTTTTCTTTGAAGAAAGAAATGGCTTCCTCCAGTGCTAGAGAAAAACCCATCTCTCCTCCGTGTGTCCTGGTCCTTGCTTCTTTCTCCATCCTCACATTCTCCGTTTCCACTCTCTCTGTTCTACCTGCTACTCCTCAAGTGCATCAAACACATTCTGCCCCAGGGCCTTTGCACTGCTGTTTCCTGGTAGATATTTTATTGGCCAGTGTGCTTCTTTATTGCCCACTAAGGTAAGTTATAGAAGAGGGTATTCCTGGCTTCCTCACTGCTGTATCCCTGATCCCTTGGTAGTTCCTGGTACAGAGGATGAGCTCAGTGAAGCCATGTTGGCTGCGGAACAGAGGGATGGGCCAGGGAGAGGCCCCAGATATGAAACCATTTTAAATCTGCTGATCTGTTCTTACTTCATCATGAGACAGACGATGAAACTAAAATGTAGAAAAGTTTTTAAATCCAAAGTCACATGACAAGTCAGTTCCAGAACCAGCCTTAGAATCTGGGTTCTTTACTTCACGAACCTCTGAATGTCAGAGGCCTTTGTGTTTTAATGGTGCTGACATTATTAAGTAGCATCCCAGGAAATTCTGGATCTCAAGTTGCTGTTTATTTTGGCAGTGGATGGATCACTTTAATGCCTTCCCTAAAAATGAACAGGACAAATCAGGATTGCTATTATATTTTAAATTATTAAAATGGTGATTCCGAGTGCTTTCCTTCTTGGCCATAGGGTTAGCTCTTGCCTGTTGAGGGCAGACTCTGGTGCTAGAACAGAGAACTGCTGCTTTAAGAAGAGATGCTTTGGACAGTGGGGGCGAAAAGTGGTTTTCCTGCTCTCAGACTCGCTCACCACATTCGACTTCACCTCTGCTCAATAAAATACGTGTGGGCTTTTCCCCACGTGCCAAGAATTCAGCAGACACCACTGGGTGTCTAACTCAATTCAGTTCTGACACTGTCTACCTGGAGACAGCGGCAGCTCCCACACACCAACGGCTCAGCCTCACGAGACTGCTTCTGCTTTAGACGGCAGTCACAACCCTCGAGTCATTTTACCTGCGCTTCTGAACAACTTGGTATAAATCAGTTCCCATGACCCCCTCCTTGGGCTCAATGAATTTGCTAGAGCTCAATGAATTCACAGAATTCAGGGAAATACTTTTACTTCCGTTTACCAATTTATTATAAAGGATATTACCAAGGATACAGGGCCGGGTGCCTTGGCTCACTCCTATGATCCCAGCACTTTGGGAAGCTGAGGTTGGGGGGGCACTTGAGTTCAGGAGTTCAAGACCAGCCTGGACAACATAATGAGACCCCCATCTCTACAGAAAAATAAACAAAATTAGCCGGGTGTGGTGGCGTGCACCTGTAGTCCCAGCTACTTGGGAGGCTGAGGTGGGAGCATGGTGAGCCCAGGAGGTAGAGATGGCCGTGAGCCAAGATGGCACCACTGCACTCGAGCCTGGGTGGCAGAGTGAGACCCCGTCTCAAAAACAAAAAAGGATACAGAGAAAGGGATGTGTAGGGCAAGGTATGGGGGAAGGGGTCCAGAGCTTCCACGCCCTCCCCAGGCGTGCTACCCTCCAGGAAACTTCAGCTATGGGGGAACTCCTGAAGCCCTGTCTTTTTGGGTTTCTATGGAGGCTTCATTACATAGGCATGACTGACTTCTTTCATTGGCCACTGGTGATCACTCAACCTCCAGCCCCGCTGTCCTCCCTGGAAGTTGGGGGCTGGGGCTTAAAGTCCCAACTCGCTCATCCTGTCTTGGTCTTTCTGGTGACCTGCCCCCATCCTGAAGCTACCTAGGTGCCCCCAGCCACCAGTCATCTCATCAACATGCAGAAGACCTTTCTGGGATGCCCGAGGTTCCGTGGGTTTCAGGAACTGTGTACCAGAAACCAAGGGCGGAGACCACATAGATGTTTTTTATTAGATCGCAAGAGGAAGGAGCCTGAGCGGCCAGGTTTTCGTTCCCTCTGCTCAGCATGTTATCACCTCTCTGGGCCTTAGTTTCCCCATTTGCTAGTAAGGGGATTGAGGGGACGAATCTATGGTGCTGGAGTTTTCCTGTGTGCCCCTCTCTGTGCGCCTGGCCTCTGCCCTGGCAGCCTGGTGTGGGGTAGAATGGGCCCTCTGCAGCTGCAGGAGGGGCCCTCGCCGACCCTGCCTGTCTCCTCTCTCCTCTGCAGGCACTGTATATGTTCTATGCCTTGGCCATAGTGTGCGATGACTTCTTTGTCCCGTCTCTAGAGAAGATCTGTGAGGTACGTGGAAGGGACTTGGGACGCCTTGGTGCAGGCTGGAGGGTTGGGGGTGATTGCAGACAGGTGGTTCATAAATGCCGGGCTGAGAAGGCAGGACTGACGTGGGGAGCATGCCGGTGGTAAAGACTGTCACACGGAGCCCTGAGTGTCTGCCCCATGGTGAAGCCTCGCCGGAAACCCTCACATTAGCCTTGGTGGATGGCAGCCTCTCCCAGAGGTTGGCAGAAGAAAACGCTCCTGGTGTGAGATCACTACCCGGAACCACTGGGTCCACAGCGGGCTGTCGGCGTGTGTGTCCAACCTGGCTAGGCACAAAGCCCAGGCAGACCAGCCAGCTGCAGTGGAGCATTGCCTGTCACCAGCTGCAGGTGGTGGGTGACAGGGGCCCACCCCTACCTCCCAGGGCGCCCGCCTGCTGCAGCGTCAGGGAATTCCCTTCTGTGCTGACCTTTGCACGCTGACGTTTTCTCCCCACAACTATTTTGCTATTTTTTCCCTTTCTTTCCTTAATTCTCCTCATATGCAAGACCCCAGCATATCTCTTTGCCCCACCTCACTCTTGGCTTCTAATCCAGGAGGAGATTGACTTCAGTTTGCAGCACCTCCTGTGTGCAGAGTGCCCAGGGCTTTGCCACCTTCATCCCCGTGAAACCTCCTGGGGGTCTGAGGCCATGCCATCATGGTGACATTGGCAGCTGGGAAGGCAGGTTGTTCGGGGCATGTGTTCCCTGGGCTCTCCCACTGTTCGGCCCAGCTCAGGGAGCTCCGTGTCCTGCCAGAGTCAGGACTGGCTGCTTTGGACCTGGGCCCCCCAAGCAGTGACCTGGCAAATGTGTGCAAAGGCCTCCCCTCACCCCACAGCCCCTCAGATGGAGCCACGTGCTCACCTCCATCCAGACACTTGTCAGTGAGAGAGCGGAGCCAGGGGAGGAGGGTGAGGAACAGAGTCTGGAAATGCCCACTGGGATGATGGTGTGGGAGGGTCCACCCAGGGCCCCTGTGGAGCATGCACTATGGGGAGTGGTTGTTAAAGGTGTTGCTGCTTCTTGGGAAGAATGTGGTCAGCTGATCCTTACTGAATACACACCTAGGACCCACCCACTAGGCTGAGAGCTTGAAGAGGCCATAGTAAAGGGTTGATGGGAGCCTGTGGAAGGTGGGTGACACAGTGTAGGGCCACACACATGGAGGTGACATGGACCCCATGGGATGCCTGTATCCCCATGTAGATCAGTGCTGTGCCCCCACCCCAGAGGTGAGCAAGGGTGATGGTCTTAGCCCTGTAGGTAAGACCAACGTCAGAGGCTCAGTAAGAGACATCAAAGGACAGGGAAACTGGAAAGAGGGGGGAGCATCTCTCTTGGGGGAAAAATCTGGGAAGGCTTTGTGGAGGAGGTGGCATTGGGTCCAGGTTTCAGAAGTGGGAAGGAGTTTAGCAAGCAGAGAGGGAAGAGAAGGGCATTCTGGGAGGAAGGAATGGCTCAGGCAAAGGCAGGGAGGAGGCAGGACAGGAGGCAGCATGGTTTGGGTTCTGCTGAAAGTTTCTGGAGATCCTTTGGGGGCAGAGTCTCTTCTGTGGGACCCTGCTTTTTGGCAGGATTAAGGTGGCTGAGCTTCCACCCTGGAGATCAGTGTTGTGCCCCCACCCCAGCCTCTGTCAAGCCCAGAGCTCTGACCCTTCTGAGGACTTTTCCAAGGCTGGCCAATCAGTGGGCTCCCTGGCGGCCCCAGAGCCCAGGCTGCTCAGGGATACTTTGGGAGGTGGGGCCGGTGGAGGTGAGCCTTGCCCTGAGGGGCCTCCAGATTAGGGTTCAGGCAGACTCTGAGTCTCCATGGTGTCTCCAAACATCCAAAGCCTCCAGCACTACTTTTCAGATCAGAGGATGGGCTCTGTGGCTGGAACATGGCCTGCACAGGCAGACGGGCCTCGATCAGGAGTTCCCACCCTGTCCCGTGCAGCTTAACCCTGGAACCAGTACCTCTGGGTCTTTGTGAGCAGCTGGATGCTGGGCTTGCCATGGAGAAGGCCTTCTGGAATGCAAGGCCCAGCTGCAGCCCGGGGCCCTCCAGGTCCACAATGCTGACATTCTCATAGAAGCCCCCAGTACCCAAAACTGGCATGGGAGGGGAGGGCCAATAGACTGATGTGTGCCTGTGGGGCACCACTCCATGCCAGGCCCTGTTCTAGGCACCAGGGAGGCAAAGATGGGATAGAACAGCTGTTGCCCTCATCATCCAGCAAGGGAAGGCAAGCGTGTGGCTCACAAACCCTCATGTGAAATTACGTTTCAATAACAGCAGACAGAACATATCAGGCCTCTAAGGGGAATGGCTAGCTCTGAGTAGATGCATAGAAAGACTTCATCGGGGAGGCATTATTCGGTCAGGGGCTTGAAGGACAAACAGAAAGGAGATGGGGAGGGGAAAGGGGCTCTGAGTTGAATGCCAGGTAGAGGGTGGGGGGCAGATGGCAGAGGGCAGACAGCATGTGCCCAGGAGTGAGAGGCTGTGGCCAGAGGAGGTTGGCTCCGGCTACAGCACTGCGCTCGTGCACACTACTTGACTGTGGAGTGTCCAGTGACATCCAGTGCCCCCACGGCACACCCTGAGGCTCTGTGGTCACTTCTGTTTCAGAGGCTGCATCTGAGTGAAGATGTGGCTGGAGCCACCTTCATGGCTGCAGGAAGCTCAACACCAGAGCTGTTTGCCTCTGTAATTGGTAAGAAATCCCCTCCAGCCCGAGGCACAGCATCTAAAGAGAGTCCGTTTGGTGCCCAGAGCAGTGGGGGCATTTGTCAGCTCTGAGCCTCACTTTTCTCATCTGTAAAATGGGAGAATTGGAGCAACAGAAAGTAGGCCAGTGGTTTCTTGGGGTAGAGTAGGTGATAAAAATATTCTAAAATTAGATTGTGGTTTTGGTTGCAGAATTCTGTGAATATACTAAAACCACCAAATTGTATATTTAAATGGGTGAATTTTACAGCATGTAAATTATATCTGAATCAAGCTGCTCAGTTAAAATGGGAAGATTGGAGTAGCTGCTCCCTGGTTCTGCCGCTGCTTCCACCATTCTCTCCCGCTCCATGAGGGTTCTGTTTGATAGTGAAACAACTCACCTCCCCATGAAAGGGGCACAGAGGAAGGGGCCGGCGTCTGTGTGTCTCCTTTCCAGGTGTGTTCATCACCCACGGGGACGTCGGGGTCGGCACCATCGTGGGCTCCGCCGTGTTCAACATCCTGTGCATAATCGGAGTGTGTGGGCTGTTTGCTGGGCAGGTCGGTGGTTCCCCCTCGGCCTGGCAGATGCAGGCCCTCAAGTGCAGGGGATGAGCCTCTATGACAAGAGGGTGGGGCAGCAGTGAGGACACCCAGAGGACACCCGAGCTGGATTCTCGATACATTTGGGGCCTGGTTTGACCTCCCCAACAGGGAGCATGAAGCTGGATTGTCATTCATACCCCCTTAGCTACCCTCAGAAACCAGGGGGGATGTTGAACTTGACCTCAGAGAGGCGAGCTCATGAGTGAGGCCCTGCCTCGCGGAGGGAGATGGAGGTGGGCAGCCGACTCTGCCTGAAGGTGCCAGGATCAGGTGGAGAGCGAGCCTCTGGCCTCTGCTGTGAAACACGTGCTGTTTTGACCTCAGAGGAACGGCAGGCAGCTTTGCCATGGTGCCATGGCTTGAGAACATTACTTGGTTTCATTCTGTTCCCCAAATATAAGGAAGAGTAAGTGTGGCCTGGCGTTGGGAGGAGGAGCTCTGTAGGTGTGCCCTGCACTGTGGGGGGAGGAGGTCTGGGCAGCTGTACCCCCTCCCCGCTCCCTGCCAATACCAGCTGACGACGAGGGCTCTGCCAGCAGGTGGTCCGTCTGACGTGGTGGGCCGTGTGCCGAGACTCCGTGTACTATACCATCTCTGTCATTGTGCTCATCGTGGTGAGTTGCCCCTCTGCCCCCAAGGTCGGGTTGGCTGGAACCCTGTGAAGGCACAGGACCCCTGCCCATCTCTGCCCTGGCACTGTGACCAGAGAGGACTCAGCACCCAATAGTGGGGGTGTGCCAACTACTCACTGTGGTCACAATGACCAGCCCCCCACCCCAGCACTGTGCCTCCATTCCCCCAAAACCTCAGGCCTGGCGCCTTGGTGGTGGAGCAAATCCAGGGGCCATCTTGAAGACAAAAAGGCCTCGGAAGCAGGCACTCCATGCCCGTGCAGTTCAGCTTGGGTGCTTTGCTCATCATGGGCCCTTTTGCTACCCATGTAAGCCCTGCTTAGTCTTTGGTGGACTTGGTTTTAAAATGCAGAGTTTCTGGTTCCACTGCCCATAGGGCAGGAAAGAGAGCAGGCCAGCTTGGGGCAGGCAGAGGGAGCAGCTGGGAGCAAGGGAGGAGCCAGGAGGAGAGGAAGGAGAGGAGAGGAGATCACAAGGGGGCCCTGGACCTGTTGGAGTTGTGTGGGGTGTCCCCACTGGGCCCCAAAGGCTGGGGTGACATGATGGCACTTGATAGTGAGGTGGGTGACAGACACAGCCAAGAAGCATGCATTCACAGGGAGCATTTCAAACCAAAAGAATTTTGAAGCGGGGGAGAGGGGCACACTCAGACTTCAGGGGTGGAATGTGCCCTTGGGAGACAGCTCTTAACTGGACCTACAGCCAACTTTATATAGGCAGTCATGTCCCTATATTAGTTCCCTACTGCTGCATAACAAATTTCCCCAAAACTCAGCAGTTTAAGACAAAGATTTATTTTCTCCTGCTTCCTGTGAGAGAGAATACAGCTAGTGCTCCACTTACGACCTCGATTGGTTCCGACAGACCGGTTGTAACATGATTTGGTCGTAAGTTGAGTAGGCTATATGCACGTGGAGATGGTAGTGCTGCTGGAAGCTGGTCCGCACTGTCGTACACCCAGCTGGGCAACTTTTGCACTGTCAGACGCGGAGCAGTCGTGGCTAGCGATTGTGGTCGTAAAGTCGAATGATCGTAAGTTGCATAGGTCGTAAGTCGATCAATGCCTGTAAATCTTGGTCTTAAACTGCTGAGAAACCAGCCAGGAGTGGTATAGCTGGGTCCCAGGCCAGGTCCTCTGCCAGGCTGTAGTTACAGTGTCAGCCAGGGTAGGATCGTGGCAGAGCTCGGCAGGCGGGGCTGAGCTTGCTGGGTGACTCACGTGGCTGTGGGCAGGACTCAGGGCACTGACTGTTCCACAGGGCAGCTCTCAGCTGGGTGGTGGGCTTCCCTCGGAGTGAGGGCCAGAGGCACCAAGATGGAAGCCACAGCCTTTTCCTAACCTGCTCTCAGGAGCGTTACCTGCCGTGTGTGCCATATATTGTTTATTCTAAGCAAGTCACCAGGGGCAGCCCACACTCTAGGGAAGCATGAATGTCAGGCAGTGGGAGCATGGGGACCCCCCTGCAGGCTACCTACCACAGCCCCAAGAAATAGAACTTACAGATATAACAATCTACGGATACATGATTTCAAAAAGGTCAACATATGCCCTAACTATAATATAAAGGAGAAATAAATGTAATTTATAATGGAAAAATATATCTTTTAGTATGTAAATGTTTTGGCACGGAGATGCTAGGAGATCCAATGAAGGGATTGGTTCCCTCCCACAAAAACAATCTCTGAGCTTATCTAGTACAAATGCAGACTGATGCCTGTGTGTTGGGCTGGCACCCCATGGGTGGTGCCGATGGTGATCATGTGATTTTCCACAATAAATGACTCCTGATAAAATTCCTGACAGAGCAAAGTATAATCATTCCTTAATTTGCATGACAGTTACCTTACTAGAAAATTAAGGATTCGCTAAAATCATGTAAAAATACTTTGATTTAAGGCCTGGTGCTGTGGCTCAACGCCTGTAATCCCAGCACTTTGGGAGGCCGAGGCAGGCGGATCATGAGGTCAAGAGATCAAGACCATCCTGGCCAACATGGTGAAACCCCGTCTCTACTAAAAAATACAAAAGCTAGCTGGGCGTGGTGGCGCACGCCGATAGTCCCAGCTACTTGGAAGGCTGAGGCAGGAGAATTGCTTGAACCTGGGAGGCAGAGGTGGCAGTGAGCCGAGATCGTGCCACTGCACTCCAGCCTGGCACCTGACAACAGAGTGAGACTCTGTCTCAAAAAAATAAATAAATAAAATGCTTTGATTTATAAAATGAAGTGAAGGCCAGGTGTGGTGGCTCACACCTGTAATCCCAGCACTTTGGGAGGCTGAGGCAGGCAAATCACTTGAGGTCAAGAGTTTGAGATCAGCCTGGCCAATATGGTGAAATCCCATCTCTACTAAAAGTACAAAAACTAGCCAGGTGTGGTGGTGTGTGCCTATAATTCCAGCTACTTCGGAGGCTGAGACAGGAGAATCCCTTGAACCTGGGAGATGGAGGTTGCCATGAGCCAAAATCACGCCAGTGCACTTCAGCCTGGGTGACAGAGTGAGACTACATCTCAAAAACAAACAAACAAAAGATACACACTCCAACACACATTTGCACACCATACATACACACACCCTGCATACACACACACACATACACACACACACACACACAGAGCTATCTTTTCAGTCTCTGAGATTTCTTGATTATAGTGACTCTGTTCCATGAATGAAGGGAGGCTTCTGCCAGGTTAGCCCCAGCAGGTACGTAGACTGTTATAAAGCACAGGCCATATGTCTGGGATGGCCACGCTAAGCTGGGGCCATGTGTTACAGCACCCTGCTGGCCTAGGATCCACTAAGGAAAGGCCTGTAAGTGAGCAGCTCAGAAATGGTTTCATAACACACATAACAAGGCCAGTATAAGTTGGCTCTGGGTCCCTGGGTGTCTGTGCTTGTTTTTGTTTTGAAATAAATATGTCCCAGCCACCTCAACTCTGTTTCTTTTGTCTTCCAGTTCATATATGATGAACAAATTGTGTGGTAAGTGTCTTAAGTTTATTTTTCATTGTTCTTTTTTGTTGTTGTTGCCAGTATCCTTATTTGTTGGGTTCCCTGAATTTTTTAAAAAATTATTTTTATAAACTTAACCTTATTAATTTGTGAAAGTAAAAAAAGATATCATCCTAAGAAATCATGCCTTTCTTTATCCTGTCAAAGTGAGAAAAGTTGTTTCCCTTTATAGTACCATATCTGATAGATATCATGATATATTATAAAGCTAAAATTGTGAAAACAGTATGGTATTTTTCACAGGGATAAGCATAAGCCAATATGGAATGCAGTAATTGGCCTATTTCTGGAATAGGGGACATTGCAGAGATGTCATGATAAGGCAGTGAGTTAGGAATGGTGTCTTGAATGCTGCAGGGACAACTGGGAATTCACACAGACCAACACAACATCAGATCCCTACCTCACACCTTACACAAGGGTAAACTCCAGGTGATTTAAAGATATTACTGTAAAAATGATACTTTTTAGAAAATGTCAAAGAAAATATAGGGACTTATCTTTAAGATACTGAGTTAGGAATTGATTTCTTAATTAAGATACATAGCCAGGCATGGTGGTTCACATCTGTAATTCTAGCTACTAAGGAGACTGAGGTAGGAAGATGGCTTGAGCTCAGGAGTTTGAGACCAGCCTGAGCAACATAGTGAGACCCCATGCCCCAAAAAAGATACATAAATCGCAAACTTCTGAGGAACAGGTTGGTATTTCCACTCTATTTGATAGCATGGGAATGCATTTTACAGTCATAAATCATGAAAATTTTCTTTTGATTGCCAACAATTCAGAATCTGCATCCTGTTTTTTGGTTTTGGTTTTGGTTTTGGTTTTTTTTGAGACTCAGTCTCACTCTGTCACCCAGGCTGGAGTACAGTGGTGCCATCTTGGCTCACTGCAACCTCCGCCTCCTGGGTTCAAGTGATTCATGTGCCTCAGCCTCCCAAGTAGCTGGGGCTACAGATGTGTGCCACCACACCTGGATAATGTTTTAGTTTTTTGTAGAGACAGGGTTTCACCATGTTGACCAGGCTGGTGTCGAACTCCTGGGCTCAAGTGACCCACCTGCCTTGCCCTCCCAAAGTGCTTGGATTATAGGCTGTATCCTGTATGATTATTTATGGAAATAGAGTCAGACGATCAGACCAAGGGCATCAGCCACCTGCCCTGAGCAGCTGTGTGCTGTAGGCCCAGAGAAACCTAGTTCTGGTCCTATCCTGGTCTCCAACCCGCTGTGTTGCCCCAGGAAGGCCTCTGAACTCCTGGGTCTCATTTTTGTCATCTGTAGACAGGGTTGGGATGGCAACAGTGGTTCCAGGAGCTGGAGGTCAGCAAAGGGAAGAGCTCCCCAAACAACTGTAGCCCATGCTGGGCACATAGGGGGCTTTGGTTCATACATGTCAAGTGAATGAATGAACTAAAGCTCGTATGCTCCCTCAGGGGCTTATGGTCAGAGCTACGAAAATCCCCACTGCTCATGGGATTGGGTGGAGTGCACCAGAGGGTAGTAGTGGTGCATCCCAGGAAGACCCAAACACTTCCATGCCCAGCATAAGGTCCAGGAGGCTCCTGTACCACCTGCCGTGTATTCGCTCAGCTCTCAGGCCCCACTTGTGGGAATCAGGCCCCTTTCCACCCACACCCACAGCTTCTCTGGTTCCTGCCCAGAATCTTGGGTGACCGCAGGGTCTCTTGGGGTCGAGTCTGTATGACTTCAGGCCACTAACCTCCATGAATCCTGGGATATGGTGGTCCTAGTCCCTCTTTTTTCTAGGAAGTCGGGGGAACCCCACCTCTGTCCTGCAGACCTCTCTAGTTGAGAAAAGACCCCTCAGCTTTTCTTGCTTGATCACTGAGAGGGCTGCTGGTGGCAAGACAGCTACAGGCTGAGGGGTTCTGTCATGCGCCCAGGTTCTGGGCCTGGCACTTGGGGTGGGGGAGGTAAAGACATCCCACCCTCCTCCACTCCCGGACCCCTCAGTCCCTGCCTTCACCTGCCCCGGGCCCCAAGCTCTAATTGCAATCTCCTTTCTCTCTTTGAGGTGGGAAGGCCTGGTGCTCATCATCTTGTATGTGTTTTATATTCTGATCATGAAGTAAGTGCCCTTTCTCCTCCCCGGGGCTGCCGACGCCTTGCCCCCCTGCCTGCTCTAGCTTTTTGTGACAGCAGGGAGAAAAACATCTGTCAGAACTTTGTCCTTTTAGGCTAGCCCCAGCTGTCCGGTGGACAGCCTGTGGGGGGGATGGCTGGAGTAGGGGAGGGCTGTCAGATGCTGTTTCAGGGTGCCGTCCACACCGAGGCAAGGGGAATCACGCTGGTGGCTGATGTGTGGACCACAAGGCTGTTCCCCAAACAAGGAGCATGCAGGGAGCTCCTTCCTGCCCTGGGGAACCACTCACTTTTGTTGTCTCTAGAAGCCTTCTGATAATTTAATACCACTCTTTCCAAAAAACCAGGCAGGTTGACCTCTGCCCCAGGCTTCATAAAATGCCACTTCTCAGGGCCACTGCTTTGCACAACTGCAGCACCACTGATGGTCCTGGGGATGCAAACTCAGGCTATGCAACCTTGAGCCCCTCCAGAAGCCACCCAGGTCAGAACCATCTCAAAACTACCCGTGAGGAATACTATGCAGCCAGAAAAAGGAATAATGTTCTGACAGGCTGCAACATGGGTGAAACTGGAAAACATTACGCTAAGTGAAAGAAGCCAGTCACAAAAGGACAAATATTGTCTGATTCCAGTTACATGAGGGATCTAGAAGAGCCAGATTCATTGAGGTAGATCAGAGGTCAGTGCAGGCGTCTGGGGAGCAAGGAAGACGGAGTTAATAATTAATGGGAGCAGTGTTGCTGTTTGGGATGATACAAATGTTTTGGGAACTGTGGTGATGGCTGTAGAACAATGTGAGTGTAATTAATGCCACTGTATGGTACACTTAAAAAGGGAAAGTACTCTGAATGGTAAATTTTATGACATATATATTTTTTCCCACCACACACACGCACGCACGCACGCACACACACACGCGCGCACACACACACACACACACCCCTACTCACGAGCTGAGCCACATTCAGGTTTATCTTCCTCTTCGTACCTCGATAGGTAATTAAAAAGAAAGACAACACTCTGGGTTTTATGAGGATATAAATCCCACATTTACATAAAACATATATAATGTTTTATAAAAACAGGTGATAAACTGTCAGTCTGCAAAAGCATTGTCCTTAAATGATCTGCACTCTGAGTGCCTTTCAGCGAGGAGCTGGCCTGAGGTTCTTTGAGATGGAGAGACTCTTCCCTCAGGGGCGATGGCAGTGCTGGCTGTGAGTGGTGCAGGGGGTGCCCGTGAGCAGCCCGGGAGCAAGATGTGCTGCTGAAGCAGAGAGGACAGGCCTAGTAATGCCCTCTGTGAGCCTGGTAATGCCCCCTGTGGGCCTGGTAATGCCCCCTGTGAGCCTGTCCCCGAGGTGAGGCTGAGCTTCCTTTATTAGGACAGGCTCCAGTAAGTAGGCCTCAGTCATTTTCTTGGGTGAAAGGGCTCTTATGCCCCCAGGAAGTCCACCACCAGCTCAATAGGAGCAGGTGTCCCCAGACATTCCCAGGTCCCTATCAGGAAACTGTCAGCCCAGTTGAAAAGGCGAGGCTCCTCACCTCCCCTGCCACCCGCCACTCCTTCGCTGTGCTGATGCGCGCAGGGATGGGGTGCGATGGCCCCCTGCCCAATCGGTGGGACTCCTCTCCATTGCCCTGACCTCCTGCCTCCCCTCACTTCCAGGTACAATGTGAAGATGCAAGCCTTTTTTACGATCAAACAAAAGAGCATTGCAAATGGCAACCCGGTCAACAGTGAGCTGGAGGCTGGTAATGATTTCTATGACGGTAGCTATGATGACCCCTCCGTGCCATTGCTGGGGCAAGGTAAGGCTGAGCAGACAGGAGTGTGCAGAAATGTGTCCTGGAAGCCACTCTCTCCTTCTCTTTTGTGTACACACACACAGACACACACACACACATATACACACACACACACACACCCTCTCACAAAGTTCCCCTCTAAATTGTCACCCTCTTACCTCTGACCACAGGTGCCCTAAGTGAGGAGGGAGTGTCAGTTTGGGACATGGGGTTTGCTTAGGTGGGAAGGGATGGAGGGGAAGTACAGCAGAAAAGCACAGCCACGTTCCTGGGAGTTTTCCCACGCTTCCTGAGGAAGGCACAAGGTCTGTTTGGCTCTTCAGAGTGCAGTAGTGTCCCTGACCCATGTAAGAGCCCATGACAGGCAGCTGAGGGGCTGGGGTGGCAGAGCCAGCCTGGGCCTTCTGCAGCTTCTCAAATGCCAGACCCAGTTCTGGATGGAGAATGACTCTGGGCAAAGCACCAGGTTCTGGGGCTGGGAACCATCACCCAGAGGAAGGACAAAGCCAGGAAAGGCAGACACGAAGCTGAGCAGGCACCCCAAAGCCAGCCCCTGAGAGCCCTGCCAGAGAGCCCGCTCCCCTGGGCAGCAGCCTCGTCTCCTCCGCCTCGTCTCCTCCGCGGCTCTTCAGCCTCCTTGTCCGGGAAGTGGGGGTCTGGGCCTCCAGAGCCTCTTCCTGTCATGTCTTAGCGAATTCTCTAAGTCACCTGGGTCTGACTGATGACTTCCTTGGAAACATGAATAATCCAAGGCCAGTGACCAGGTGGCTTCCTTTGTGGGGGCAGCTGCCTGGTTGGAGAGAGAGTTCACGCTAGCCCAGACCAGTGGGAGAGCCTGGGCGGTTCTTGCCATCACTATGGACAAACAGGTCTGAGCTCCACCCATGGTGCTGGGCGAGGCCTTCAGCAGACGAGCGCCTTGCACTGGTGTCCCAGGGGTCTTTCCCCATCATTCCCCACGGCCTGCAGCTAATCTCATCGTCTTTCAGGTGAACTCTTTTGTGATGTCAGTGGTGGGGCCAGGTGGCCTCAGATGTGTCTGGAGCCAGAATCTGTATTTCTGGGCCCCTTCTGCAGTCATCATCCTGTGGCCAATGAAACAGGGGTTTCCTCCCATGAACATTTTGGGAGTCTGTTCTGCCCTGTCTTAGGTAACCCCCAAGAGGAAGGGGTCTCTCCCTCTAGAAGGAAGAAGCCTGCTGGGGTGGCGGGGTGCGGTCCAGGCCACAGCCTGGCTGCCAAGGCCCACCCACGCGGGGCAGAGCTGAGGAGCTGATGGGTATGGAGTTTGGTTCGCATGTCGTGTTTCATAAATGCCAAGCAGCCTACCCCAGGGGAAGCCAGTTTCCAGGACAACCTCAGAAGGGGAAGGAGCCATGTGGGCTGCTGTGGCGGATTTTAGCTCCACGGACGCAGTGGCCCCGAGACATCCATCACTGGTCCCCACACACAGGCTGGCAGGACTGAGGCTGGTTGCTGCCCTGTCCTATATGTGGTGCTCCTGGGTCCTCTGGGCCTTCGTGGCAAAGAAGAGAAGTACCGTGTGCTGAGTCACTCAGTCCAGCGGGAGATGCTCACCTGAGAGCCACCTACCACCCTGTGGCTGACCAAGGAGACCTCCCAGGACCCTGCGGGAAGCACTCCTCATTCGTGGCCCGGGAGCCTCAGCTCCTCACCCTCCCAGCAACCCAAGCTCCCCAGAGGCCACCGCCCACGCGGTACCTTTTCTGGCACTGCTGTGCCTGTCTCCGTCACTCTTGTGCCTGTGACAGTGGGACTCCCCTGGAAGTTTATTTTCTCCCTAATATCTTTAAGTCTAGGACATTTTCTAGAAAACTGGAAGAATGGACATGGGACTGCCCCCAAGCACTGGGGAAGGAGGGAGAATCCCGTCTTCCTGCAGCTTTTATTGGAGGGAATGCATTTAGATAAGGGCCAAGGGAGAAAACAGTCCCCAGAGAGTGCAGAGGGAAGTGGGGTGCAGGTCTGGACACCTGGAATCAGAGATGGGGGAGACCTGGAGAGGCAGATGTGGGGATTTCTTCGCTCCACTTTTTACTGCCTCTCTGATAAGAGGCTCCCAGAGGGCCACACGAGGGTCTCTACTCTTCACTGTCCCCTATGTAGACATGACTGAACAGGAGGAAGGAGCCCCGGTAACACTCCGGCTGGGACTGGGGAGGCCGGGACTGGGGAGGCCAGGGCCTGGGGGCTTTTCCTTTCCTAAGGGTGCTGCCATGGAACCTTCTGGCTGGAGATGACAACGGAGTTTTCCTCTCCGTGCCTAGCTGCAGGCAGGTCACCGTGTGGCCACCCCACCAAAAGGAAGACATGGGTTGCTGGCTGGGAGATCCTCTAAGAGCACACACTCTCTCTCAGGCCTGATCAAGCTGTTCTCAGTTGTTGTATTTTCCTCCAACTTCTTTACAGGAAAGGTGGGGAGAAAGCCTTTTTCCCACCACACTGATAAAAGGCCTTTGGGTACTGAAACATTCTTAAAGGCTACGTGGCTCAGCTCGCCAAAGCAGCCTCCTGCTGGTGCTCAGGTGGCCTTGCACACGGCCTGACAGCCAGGGCCACCTGCCTCCGGCCTCACCTGGGAGGCTCACTGTGGACCTTCCGGGCTGCCCCGGCCCTGGGCACGGCCTTGGTTTGGAGTGGGGAGAGTTGGGTGATGCCCGGCCTTGGGCTGAACTGCCAGGAGAATGTGCTGTCGTTGGGTTCTTGTCTGGGCAGCCACTCCAGGCATGGGCACACTACCTTGTCCTGCCGTTGGTCAGCGGGCACCAGGATGAGGCGTCCTGAGGGCCAGGCATCCTGGGGAAGGAGGGAGAATCCCATCTTCCTGTAGCTTTTATCAGAGTGAATGCATTTAGATAAGGGCCAAAGGAGGAAGCTCCCTAGAGAGTACGTAAGGACGTGTGGGCACAGGCCTAGACTCCTGGACTCGTGTCTACAGACGCCAGGCTCCCTCCCTCTGAGCCCAGTTGCTCCCCAGCAGTACCTGGCATGCGGCTGGTTCTGTAGGCTGGAGCCCAGAGCCTGCAGTTGCTGTGGGTTCCACCTCCTGCCAGGATGGAGGCTCCTGAGCAGAGAGGGATTCGAGCTTTTCAGCATCAGTGAGGGGTTGAGGGCGTGAGCTGTGGGGGCACTCCTGCTCCTCAGAGTGGAAGCAGAGCCATCGAATCAGCCAGGACAGGAGCCATCCCAGAGGCCAGAGGCCCCGAGCATTGAAGCTCCCCATAGAAGGAGCCTGCTACTAACACCCTCCTCCACATTACCCCGGGCGTCTTCGCCGCCACCAAGAGCGCTGCCCATGACTCTCGGCACCCACCGCACGCTGATCGTCTCTGGCAATCTCTGTTGGCCTTTGTCTCCTTAACTCTCTTCCTCTTCTAAATTGTAAGTAGTCAGCTTTCATCCACGTGATAACACCTGCATTTCGAGCAAAACAACCAACCTAAGCCTGGCCCACCGATGCGCCATGAGCCTCATTAGAGGTTCGCGGCCGTCTCTGACGAATGCATGTTCTCCTGGCTTTGTTTTCTAACCCACACGCCTCCTGTCTGCTGAGCCTTGCCTGTTTGGTGAGGAGTGTGTGTGTCTGTGTGCCTTTGTGCATTTTTGTGCTATTAACTCTTGCACGGGTTTGCTCAACGGACTGATTCCCTGGTTACCCTATAGCCCATAATGGACGCTCACCGGGAGCTGGTAACCAGTGCAGAGGAACAGGCATAGCCATTTTTACAGCCCTTTGGAAGGGAACACTCTGCCTGCGTCTGCATGCTGTGTTCATGAGTGGTTTTGTAACTAGACTCTCCTAGGGATCGGAGTCAAATGTCAAATCCCCAAGGATACCGGCACAGTGCAGGTTTATGAAGATGGCAAGGAAGAGGTCTGGAGACAAGGAGTTTTGTTCCTCCCCCTTGTGAGGGGAAGGAAAGGGTCAGAGAGACCAGCCTCCCCCTGGAGAGTATCAGGCTTTATAAAGTCACTGCACTGAGCCTGCAGCTCACCATGCATCCTCAAACAAGCAGGCTCCTCTCCTGAGTCTCAGTTGCCTGTCTAAGGCCCATGATCTACATCTCTGACCTTACCACTTGCCCTATAAAGAACAAAGTTGCAAACATCCTCTCCTGCAGACCAGAGCAGGTGGCCTCGCAGGAAGTTCAGAGGCAGTGTCTGCTGCTCTGCAGCATTTTCCCCACCCTGGGGACCTTGTCGATTTGCAAAAATTCATCTGAGCCTCTATAAACGGAGGAAAGAAAGGTCCCCTCATAATCACGGGTGAAAAGTGATAGGCCTCTGTCTGTATTGTAGGTGGGCTTCGCTGGTAAGGCTTAGATGAGGAACGGAAAGACCCTTGTAATTAGCCAAGACTGGGCCCCAGAAGAGAGGGAGAAGAGCATCAATTGCTCATGAGTGGTCCTGGAGCAAGGGGACCCACTGGGCTTCACATGCTAGGTCAGCAGGTGTTTCAAAGCCAGTGACCCACTTTGCCTGACGTGAGGAGTTGAAGCCAGGCATCCAGACTTCCAGGTGGCTGCCAGCCGCCAGGACCACAGCCTAGGGAAGCTCACCAGGCAAGGGGAAGTCAGTGAACCCAGCACTTGGGTGTCCTCAGAGAGACCAGCACTAATCATGGCGTTGTGCTCAATAGTGAAGGAGAAACCACAGTATGGCAAAAGCCCCGTGGTGATGGTGGACGAGATCATGAGCTCCAGCCCTCCCAAGTTCACCTTCCCAGAAGCAGGCTTACGAATCATGATCACCAACAAGTTTGGGCCCAGGACCCGACTACGGATGGCCAGCAGAATCATCATTAATGAGGTAAGTTTGCTTGAAGGACGGTAAAAGTGAGCAGTTGTAGATACAGGAGGGCCTGGCTCGTTAGGGCTCTTCCTGGCGCCATTGATCACTGCACCTGTTTAAGGAAGGATGCCCTGGGGCCTCTGGAAGCCTGCCCATCACCCCCAGGCAGCAAAGTATCCTTTGAGAAGATATGTTAAAGCTTACAGCAATCGAATACCCTGGCTGAGCTGTTTCACTAAGTATTTTGTCAGGCACTAGAGTGGAACTAATTGGAGAAGGGCCAGTCGGAAGCATGGATTGGTTCTTTAAAATGTTGTTTAGGGTAAAACAGAAAAGGTGAGTTCACACCTGTTCTCTGTGGACAGAACTCCAGGAGGAAACCTAAGACACTAATGAGCAACAGTGACCTCTGGGGCTTCCTTTTCTTTTTCTCTCTCTCTCTGTCTTTTTTTTTTTTTT